ACTGTTGTGAGACTATAAATTTCACACTTGTTATCCATTTGAAAGCGCTCCTGTTCAGGACTTAGTGGGTCAAGAGTCATTCATTTACTCATCCCCTACCCATGCATTCATTCACTCATCAATCCATCCACCTTCAATTAACAAATTCTCTGAACATTTGGAGGTATTTTGAGTGTCAGTCTTGTTGCAGAAGGGAGTATTTTAGGCACCTTTGTGTATGTAATCACCCATGCTGGTTCCATCAATCACTGCTCCATCCGTTAATTCAACCATTGACGGTGAAATCGGCCACCAGGTTAGTGCGGACTCCACTCCTCCTTGCAGCAATACGAGGAGGCCCTGCGACCACAGAAGAAGGGAGCGGGATGGCTTCTCAATCGCAGGAAGGCCACTGCTGTGTCGTCTCCCCAATTGCAGGAGCCCTCCTCACCGGTGGATAAAGGCAAGGCGACAACAGCGTCACCAAACAACTTCCCCCTTATCACCGCCGGAAAGAGCAAATTGCTCTTGGAGGAGTTCCGTCGGAAACGAACAGTAAGTCGTCTCTCTGTTTCCCCCCAACTGCCTCTCTTCAATTTCATTAGCTTTGACTATCCATAATTGGTCAAGTTAAGCATCCATTGTGGATTCATTCATGAAGAAGTCGCCTTGTCCATCTGCTACCCATTCCTGAGCCACTGTTTCCGTTTGATGTGGAGTCTTTCCACTTTCAATTTATTAACCGGCTTGGGGTTGAGGCTTCCGATTTGCATCCACTTTTTCTTTTGTCATTTGTCAGCGCCTCTTATTGCTTCACCTCCTCGTCCACTAGTATTCCAACTTAACATCCATTTCCTTTAAATATAACGCTTGTGTGGAAGTATTAAGGTCGGTTGGTTTGTTTTGGTGCCTCCTCCCTACTCACATTCCATTTGATCGTTCCTCTAACGACTGCATATTCGTTCACACATTCCTCAGTCCAGTCGGTACGGTGTTTCCACCTCGTCATTGTCTCGCCCCTTCATCAATTCCATCCAATCGGCTGGCCATCTTCACTCATTTAACACACAAGCATTGTTTGCCATTGTCTAGCTGCCCCTTGTTAAGTAGACTTTGAAATGTCGAGAGGTGGGTAGTTGTTTA